AGCACATTGAGGAGGGAGCACAGGGAGGAGGAGGCCCAGGGAGGAGGAGGGAGCACATGGAGGAGGGGGCACATGGAGGAGGCCCAGGCGCTGAGCCTCGTGGCAGCAGCTCGCCGCCTATCCTGGACAACACCTTGTTTGTGGCGCTGAGGAAGCGAATGCTCAGGGGTAGGCATGAAAGTCCGAGATGGTCCCCGAGGACACACAGCCCCTCCCTGTCACAGTGGGAGCCACCTATAACTTGCTTCTAACCTTGGCAAAGGCAGTGATGGGATGTTACTTCTGTGATTATGAATGTTTAGGGCTGACAGGCAAAACACAAGATGGATACATTTGAATTTCAGATACAAAAATATAAATCTACTTATATAAAAACCATGGATGGTGTTCATCATGACCTGAACTGCAGCGACCAAGCGGAAGGAAGTCAGTCTTGCAGGGATTGTCTTGGCAATGGCTGTGCCCTCCCCTGAGCTGTTTCCCGGAGCTGTTTCTGGTGAGGGCAGGGTTTGAGGCAGGAACCCGCCCTCCGAGCGTGGACTCACTGAATCCTGGGTCGTTTTGCCAAGGGCTGTGCCCTCCCCAGCTGTTTCCCGTGTGGCCTGAGGGAAGAACCCACCCTCAGAGCGCCAGGAGCGCCCAGCAGCAGACAGTCCTGGGTTGCTGAGGTGTAGGCCACAGTGTGGTAGAACTCTGGGTCTGGCCCTACAGGGGGCATGGCCAACCTTCAAACCAGACCCTGACAGTAGAAAGGCGGGAACCCCATTCCTCACAGAGTCTGCTGTTGGATAGCTAGAAACATTGATGAGAGAGAAACATGCATTAGTTGCCTCCTGCACTCTCCCCACTGGGGATGTGCCCACAACCAAAGTACATGCCCTTGACCGGAATCGAACCTGGGACCCTTGAGTCCACAGGCCAATGCTCTATCCACTGAGCCAAACCGGTTAGGGCAATTAATTCCCTTTTAATGTGCACGAATTTTATGTACCGGGCTACTAGTATATCTATATTTAATATATTTTTATTCCAGAGAGGAAGGGAGAGGGAGAGAGAGAGAGAAACATCAATGAGGAGAGAGAATCATAGATCAGCTGCCTCCTGCATGCCCCACACTGGGGATCGAACCCACAACCCGGGTATGTACCCTTGACTGGAATCCAACCTGGGACCCTTCAGTCTGCAGGCTGACACTCTCTATCCACTGAGCCAAACTGGCTCAGTCCCAAAATATACTTTTTAGTATAAATAAGTTGCATGCACGATTGGGGTCATACTTACCAAATCTGGTGACTCTGTTTAACTGATAAGGTGAAGGCATTCCCCTTTGTCCTGGCTGACCCCTGGGGTGTGACCTTGTGAGAATCAGAGCTGAGATGCCAGTCAGGCTGAGCTCAGACCCCAGACCCACGAGGCCTGTGAGATCACACGTGGGTGCTGCTCCTGCTGCTCCTGTGCGGTCACTACAACAGGCCTCCTCGTGGTCCTCTCTGTGATCTGGGAAGGTGCGGGGGGCGTGGGTGACCTGGGGGTCAGGTCTGTGCATCAACAGGGGTCAGGAGGTCAGTTGCGGGGATGATGTCAGAGACAAAGCCCCTGGAGGGAAGGGAGACTGGGGGTGAGGGGGGGACCCTCAGCCATGCCTGAAGGTTCTGGCTCCTGCACAAGGTGCTGAAGGAAAGTTCATGCAGGACCCAGAGTGTCCCCGGGAGAATGAGAGACTCAGAGGTGACTGGGGGCTCTATGACAAAGTGATTTCCCCATGAACAGGTCACCGTTAGCGACAACGAGCTCCTGGCCCAGCGAGTGCTCAGGCCCCCAGGGGTCAGAAAGGGAGACTTCACGTCGCAGAACAAAAAGGAACAGAGACTGGACCTTGGTGCCGTGTTAGCTGTGGAACTCAGTGAGTTTTCTCACCTTTTGATGCCTCAGTTTCCATATTGTAAGAAGAGACCTACTACTTTTATAATTTCTTTGTCACCCAATCGGTTAAAATCTCTGAAATGTGTGATTTAACAAACATTCAGCAGTTACAATAGAGGATATGTGTGTGTGTGCTATTTTGGTTTGAAGTAAATGACCACCTCGAATTGCACTGAGGAGTGGCCCTCGGGGTAAAAATACATCCTCAGACGAGACTGTGCCACGGATTGGACACACAGGAGCTCTGTGCTGTGCGAGGGGGAGCAGTGCCTGGAGGGCAGCGGTGGGCCCCGCGAGATGACCTGGGACGCAGTCAGCTCATCAGCTGGCCAAGCTCATTGGAATAGCCGCGTTCCCAGCATAGACTCCCCTGCCCGCCCGGAGCCCTGCTGTTTAAAAGGCATCGCTGGCATCATGTGTTCAGGTAACTGGATAATTGATGGAAACTCACCTTATAGACGTGTCATTGGCTCAAGACAAGGCCCAGGCGACACAAAACAAACACGTTCCCAGTAAAAGTGAGAGACTCTGTACTAATGGTCGTTACCTACCGAGTCCTCTCATGATCCACTGACAGGAGTGACCTGCACACACCGGCGTTAAGTGAATGTTTCCTGCGTGAGTCACAGACGCGATGGCATTCCCGGGCCCTTCCTGGCGGATATAAAGCTTCCAGGGGAGGAGGCGACATTCACACTCAGAAACGTCCCTCTTCGCCTCAACCCAACCCTCCCCCTCCGCCAGCATGTGCTGCAACTACTACGGGAACTCCTACGGGGGCTGTGGCTACGGCTGTGGCTACGGCTCTGGCTATGGCTCTGGCTCTGGCTGTGGCTATGGATCCAGATATGGCTGTGGCTACGGCTCTGGCTACGGCTGTGGTTATGGCTCTGGCTACGGCTGTGGATATGGCTCTGGTTATGGCTGTGGATATGGATCCAAATATAGCTGTGGCTACGGCTCTGGCTACGGCTCTGGCTATGGGTCCAGATATGGCTGTGGCTACGGCTCTGGCTACGGCTGTGGTTATGGCTCTGGCTACGGCTGTGGATATGGCTCTGGTTATGGCTGTGGATATGGATCCAAATATAGCTGTGGCTACGGCTCTGGCTACGGCTCTGGCTATGGGTCCAGATATGGCTGTGGCTACGGCTCTGGCTATGGCAGTGGCTGCTGCACCTCCCGACCATGCTGCTACCGACGATGCTATTCTTCTTGCTGCTAGAACATCCGCCTAGAACACCCTGTGCCTCCAACATAATATTGAAAATTAATGCTTTTCCTCCGAATGATGCCCCATTCACCATCTCTACACTCCAGTAAGGATTGGACACCTCCTGTCTTTACATCAAAGTCTTGGTGTTATTGAGGAAGTAGGAATGCGTCCACTATGCACCCCGAAGACAGAAGATTTGATTCTGATTATGTTCAAAATGTCAATTTTTGGTTTTTCTATTCTCTAGTGTCTATTCAATGTATTGTCCATGGGAATAAGTACACCGTAGTTTGAAAAAATTACAGTTTTCAATAAACAAATGGCATTTGTTCTTGCAAGTATTTGTGTCTGGAGTCATCGCTGAGATTAGCATTTGCGTCCCGTCCGCCATGTTAGGCAGCCACTGTTCAGCTCCTCCTTGGGTCTGTTTACTCCTCCATCTACCAAATGTGCCCCTTCCCTCACCCATGCTGCCTGGCGGTTACTTCGGGGTTCAGTAAATCTTGGTAGTAAGTAATGTGACGATGCTGATACTCCTTTTCAAAGTTGTTTTGGCTATTTTAGTTGCTTTTGGTACCCATATAAACATTAAAATTAGCTTGTCAATATCCACAAATATATTGTGCTGAGATTTCAATTGGGAAATTGAGTTGAATATAGATCAATTTGGGTGGAATAGACATCTTAACAATATTGAGTTTTCCAATCCATGAACATGGTATATCTCCTCATATATTTATGTCTTCTTTAATTTCTGTGATGTGCTTTAATGCAATGTTGAACAAGAATGATTATTTTTGTATTCAAAGAGGGCATATTCTAATGGGGGAGCACGACAAAAGTTTAAGTAGCTATCCGACATATAAATAAGTAAATAAAGTAAATAACAATTACAAACACTTTTATAATAACTGATAAACAGTTACTTGCTATGAGAAATCAAATGGCTTACCAAAGCTGCAAGAAGAAATATAAAACCTTAATGGGACTCTAGCTATTAAGGAAATTGAGTCAATAATAATATTCAAAAACAGAAAGCATCAAACCAGAATGAATTCAATGGTAAATTCTACAAAAAACTTAAGAAATAGGTTATACCAATGTCCCACAAATACCTCCAGGAGATAGCATAAAGGAGTACTTACTAACTTGTTTTATGAGGTCATCATTACCTTAATACCAACACTAGGTAAAGACACTGCAAGAAACAAAACCACCACAGACCAATATCTTAAATAAACGTAGATGTAGAAATTCTCAACAAAATATTATGCATTTGAATCCCACAATACATAAAATGAATTATACGTCATAACCAAGTGGGATTTGTGCCAATTATGCAAGGTTGGTTCAACCCTCATCAATTGCTTAATGTAGCCCATCATATCAATAGCCTAAAGAAGAAAAATTACACAATCATTTCAATAGAGGCAGAAAAAGCATTTGACAAAATCCCAAACCCATTTATGATGAAAACTTTCGGTAACTGGGAATAGAGAGAATCTTCCTCAATTTGATAAAGAATTTCTACAGAAACCCTGATGCTAACAGCATCTTTAGTGGTGAGAAGCCAGAGACATCTCTGCTAAGATAGGAAAAGGCAAGGATGCCCTCCTTATCTATTGCTTTTTCAACATCATCCTGGAAGTCTTTGAGATGCAATATGACAAAAACAGATTAACTGATAGGAAAAAAAGAAATAAAACTGTCTTTTTCCACATGGCAGGATTGTTTATTTAGAAAATCCAAATAAATCTACAAAACCCTTCTGGGACTAATAAGAGATTATATAGCAAGGTTGCAGTATATAAGGTTACTACATAAAAGTCATTGCTTTTCTACGTATCAACACAGAGTGCATGGAATTTGAAGTTTAAAGCATAATACCACTTACAATAGCAGTCCCCAAAATGTAATACTTTGATATAGGTCTAAACATATGTACAAGATCTACACGAGGAATATTACAGAACTCTGTGAAAGAAATGAAGGAAGAACTAAAAAACAAACAAAATATATTATTTCACGTTCATGGGTAGCAAGATTCAATATTGTCAAGATGTCAGTGCTTCTTCCTTATTTCACCTAGAGATCAAAAGCAATCCCAATAGAAACCCCAGCAAGTTATTTTTTGAATATTGACAAAAAGATTACAAATGTTATGTGGAGAGGCAAAGAGCCAGGAAACAGCCAACACAACATTGAAGGAGAAGAACAAAGTTGGAGGGCTGACACTTCCCGATTTCAAGCCTTACTTTAAACTGCAGTCAGCAAGACAGAGTGGTATTGGCGAAAAACATTAAAAACATAATTGATCCGTGAAGCTGAGTAGAGAGACCCCCTATCATTCACACGAATAGACTCAACTGCTCTTTGAAAAAGAAGCGAAGAACACGTGTGGCTGGAACAACTGGACATCTACCCACAAAGACATCGGCTTTGGAAACAGACCGCGCACCCTGCACACAATCAACCCACTGTGGGTCGCAGACCTAACGGTAAAAGGCAAACCACAACCTCCTGGAAGACAGCGCAGGAGAAAACCTAGATGACGCTGAGTTTGGCAATGACTTGTTGATACAAAACCAGGGACATGGCCCATGAAAGAGAGGAAGGGCCAGCTGGGCCTCATTAATGTCAAGAACGCCTGCTCTGTGACCCACCACGTCCGGAGAACGAGAAGACGAGTCACCAACTGGGAGAAAATATTTGCCAAAGACATTTCTGAAGGACAGAATGTGCAGAGAGCCCTCAAAACTCAACACTAGGAGAACCCGCCACCCAACTCAGACATGGCCGGAGAGCTCAGCACCTCCCTGAAGAAGGTGTGACGGTCGGGAGAGGGGCCACGCGCCCAGGAAGTGGTCCAGGCGGCCCCTCTGGTGCCGGCGTTACTGACGGGAGGGCTGTGCTGTGGGGGCAGCGGGCGGCGGGGGGGCCCGCCCAAGGCCGGGGGGCAGCCGTGCAGGGCACAGCCGTGGGGGAGGCCTGAGCAGTGGCAGCGGAGACCCAGCAGAGAGGAGCGGAGCGTCGTTCCTCACGGCCTCCCCTCCTGCTGTCACGCCCCTCTTTGGTTTAAAAAGCCATCGGGCGCCGTCTCAGACGTCTGAGAGGGGAGGACGCCTGAGTGTGACTCGTGTCGGTGTGAGGACTGGGGAGGCTGCGGCCCGGCTCTCGGGGTTGGGGTGCCGGAGGTCAGAGGGGCGTGACAGCAGGAGGGGAGGCCGTGAGGAACGATGCTCCGCTCCTCTCTGCTGGGTCTCCGCTGCCACTGCTCAGGCCTCCCCCACGGCTGTGCCCTGCACGGCTGCCCCCCGGCCTTGGACGGCAGGGCACGTTTCCCCGCGGCCGCAGGCGTGTCTGTGGTTCGGTGCTTGTCATTTCAATGCTCGCTCCTGATTCCCGGGCCTCTCAAGGAGCCACGAAGCCAGCTGGAGCCAT